TTTTTTTTTTTTGTCGGGAAGTTAAACCTAAGCCGCTAGCCCGTAAATTAATTATTATAATATTCCGCTAACATATAGTAATATAAATTTGATTTTAGTATATATATTTATTCATTGATATAAGAAAAAAAAATAATTTTACTTATTATTGTTCCTCGTTTAATACTTAATTATTATTTTATTATAAAATTTATTGTAATATAAATGTAGTCTTCCTCTTCTTTTTAATTTATGTAACAAAAATATTTAATGTACGTTAATGTTTTTATTAATGTAATTAATTTAAATAATGTAAAGAAATTTAAAATAAAACATTGTGTACAAATATTTTACAAAATATACACAAATGTTTTTTGGATTTATTTTTTTTATAATAATTAAACATCTTTGACTTAGTACTTGCCAAAAACTAAATCTCTTCAATAATAAAGAGATTTTTTTAATTTGTATCATAAGGCTTTACAGTTTTTTTTTTTTTGGTCGAAACGATAGAATGCTATAAAATCCAAAAAGAGTTCAATACAAGAGACTCGGAGCACCACAACAAACTGAAAAACTTAGAGGCACATTAAGAAATGGCCTAGAGACTCACAAATACATCAAACAAAAACAATCAATCGGATAAACACCACTGCCAATAGGCCTAGCTACATCCCAAAGATCAAAGACAGCAAAAAACAAAACAAGAAAGGAAAAAAAAAATCATCAAGAGGCCAGAGCCTTGCAGTAGGTGAGCCAATCCAAGTGAGCTGACTTCACCACAATGTGAATAGGCATAAGAGTCTTTTGAAAGATCCAAAGATTCCGAGTCTTCCACATCCACCACAAAAGATAAGTAGTGAGCTGAATTCTGAAGTTGGAAGTGTCAGACTGAGGTAAGGAACAAATTTGTTGCCACCAGTGTTTGAAAGAGGCTGATTGGAGTTGCAAGCCATTCCAGGAAACAGAAGCAATTTCCCACATTCTTTTAGCTCTGTTGCACTCTAAAAACAAATGCTCAACTGTTTCCAATCCATCTCCACAGCATTTACAGATTGAATCAATAGCAATCCCTTTCTTATTGAGATTAATCAGAGTAGGCAGAGCACCACTGAGGCATTTCCAGATAAAAATTTTGATTTTGCCTGGGATTTTAAGAGACCAGCTTCTAGAGAGAGTTTTGGCCATAGGGATCAGAGAGGTGCTGCATTCAGGCATATCAAGAGAAAGAACTTTCTGCTGCACTAAGTGAGTATAAATGCTGGAGACTGAGAATTTACCTTTCTTATCAAGTCCCCAATATAAAGAATACTAAAGAATACTAAAGAATACTAAAGAATAACATAAATAAATCAAAATAAAAAATAATAAAAAATGATCATGGTTAACAATAATATACAAATAAATCATATGTTGAAATTCTAAAGAATAGTTAATATATTTCCATTTCATTATCTGGCAATTATCAAAATTATTTAATGTATTTGGTCATATCTTCCTAGATGTTAAATTATATTAAATTGAAGAATAATTTGTTTTTCTTTTTATATATATCAAATAAAGATGACGAAAAAAATTACTTAACATGTTATTATTTTCCATAAATAT